ACCCTAAATGTTGAGACGCCCGACTTTAAACTATAATTTAACCGGGCAGGATGCTGTGTTTGGTGCCTTTGGCATAGTATTTCAGTGAGGTATCACTTTAAAGTCGGCACCGGATCCGCGCTATCACAACGAGGCAAACACACCAACATAACCTGTCTCCGGCACATACACACACAGGAAAGTACGCATACACAACACACATTGATGCACGTCCATAAATGACATAAGCTGTTAATAGGCTATTAAACAAAATAAAACTTAAACCTTTAAACTCAAAACAACAAAAGTGGTATTGTTATTCCTAGAAACGAACGTTTTAGGGGATATAGCGTTCTGTCCTTACCTACCATTCCCCTTGGGTCATCACTCTATCGGCTATAATTACTTGACCGATGTTTTGTTAAACTTCACTTATGTTTGCAGTGACCTTACCATTGACAATGTTCAAGGTCACTGTTGATAAAGTAGAACTAGAAATTCGCCAGCAATTCGCCAGCTACGTTTGTTAACTAATTACATTATGTATACAACTAGCTATAGGTTTGCCGAGTTCATGTTCCGATAAAGGCAAAGCTAAATATTCCTTATATTCATCTGGATATCATACTCAGCACTCTCGTGGCTGTATTTTTTACAAACTTTGGTTTCACTGTTATGTTTGCCTCCGGCTAATTTTGAACAAGTTCGAGTTCGGATGTCCCTCGGCTCTTTTTCGAGGTCATCGTTTATGGTTGTTTCATTTTGACCTTTACCATTTTTGCTCTTTCTTTACACTGTTGTTTAGCGCAAAAAACAACTAATCGAAAGGTGTTACAAAAACAAGATCATGACTTATCAAAAAGAAATTATCATAACGTTTTTCTTTTGTTCATATTTACCCCCACCCCCGCAATCGACGTCTAACGAGATACATAGTGATAACACTGTCTGTCCGTCTAATTTGGAACGGGAAACTTATCCTAAACAGTTGGATAGTTTTGTAACTTTGCACAGGGAGGATATATAAATATGTAGAAGTGAATAAAGAAACGAACGTGCGATCCAATTGTTTTTTCCGTGAGTTATGGCCCTTGAAAATGTAATTCCTGCTGAAGAGCTACGTTACTGTTTCATTGTTACGTTACTGGATATCTTTTATAACCTAGAAAAGTGAAAGTACATAACATTCAGATGTGTATGAGGCACTTAGGAAAACCTAGATAAGATGACGCGGGGGTATATTGTTGTCAGCTCCCTCACAGTTTCTCAACTTTGCCATAATTTCATTGACTTCTAGTTCAAATTAAGGCGTTTGTCGACACTTCGGTAATCTCTTAATGCTTTCTTGTAAAATCGTAAACTTATTCGACCGAAACAATATCTTAAAATGTTTCAAATATTTGACGTGAATGCATAATAAACGGAAGTATTCCCCCTTAGAATTTTGACAAGACAACTAACTTTCTTCAAATGTTTTGCTAAAAAGCCTCAACAAGGATATAAATTAAGCTATACATAGTTCAGTCACCTTTGCTTTTTTGTTGACACTATTTTTTCGGTTGTAGATTGTACTGCTAAGGGGATATTAAAGAGACAATAATTGATCTTAGGATTTAATCTTTTTCTCGTTATCACATTAATCTACTCGTTCTTTTTGTCGTTGTCCCCCTAGGTACATTGCACTCCTTTTGATATGATCATATTCGTTTGGAGGACGTTAAACCAACCACCAGAAAAAGTCTTGTCTCACATCGCCGTATAATGCTATAATTGATAACTGTATCCCAATTAGTGCCTTGCGCAGCATTACAACAGAAATACAACACCAAATAAGCATTTGCGAGTTGTTTATCGTATCTGTGTAACGACACAATATAACTATAATTACCCCTCTTCACATGTCGTTAAACTCGAAACGGCAGGTCGCTTCGAACATAGCAATCATTCTCTGTCAGTGTTTTGTGTCTTGTTATGGATTAAATGTTTGACAAACATTTGCATGTAATTATTTCATTGATTGTTTTTCTGTTGACTCTCCATGGTGTAGATGCACGATACGCTGCTGAACTACTAGGTATGGATTCCGTTGTTATGACAGAGGTAGAAGTTCACGTAGTTGAAATTTAGCTTCACGATGGAGGACCGAGGTTGTTTTAATGTCAATAGAAATTTCAAAATAATGGTTGGAGGAATTTGTAATTATGATGTGCGGTGGACATATAAATGAATGAAACTAAAACAAAAACATAATGATTGTTGAGATAATTCCCATACAGTGGGTCAAAAAATGATAACAAATGACAGTTTCACCTCTTCAGTGCAGGTTGTCCGTGGAACAAAAAATGTATTTTGACATAAACATGTCAGTTTGTTAAATTACGGAAGAGAAAACGAAGCGCAAATATTGTTTTATATTTGAATTCGAGGTACAACGCAATTACATTGTGACATCCCTTGTGACGTGGCAATGCATTTGAGTTATAGCACAGTTATATCATTACAGCGTATAACTCTGATATTTAATTACACGTTGTCCAATATATTACATACTAAATCATCTGTTCTGATATTGTATTTGTTTTGCCATATGAGTGACAATATTGTGCAATGACATATCGGATAACTCTTATGATTACACAACGGAGTAGTGTACTGAGAGTCATAAAGGTGACCTCTTTTGGCTTCATGTAGATAAATTTCGAGATTTTGTAGAAGCGTTACATTCCACAGTATGCAAATTCATTGATTACAAACATTGATACTTTGTATCAATTCCTAAAGGAACCCGGCTATTATTTAAAAAAAGTTATTTATGTATCGTGCGTTACAGTTTTGAAGAATTTGTATAACTCTTTTGATTGTAACAATCATTATGTTTTGTTTTATCGAACCATTTTATCGAATGGTCTCGTACCTTGTATAAAATTGGAAGGAAAAACAATTACGTGGCATTTACGTAATAATGCAGTTAAAATAAATCGTTGCTGTGAGGTTTTTACGTACCCAAAACACATATATTGATATGAAAACGGATGTCTAAAGAGACACCACTAAGAAAAAAAGACACAAAAATAAGTGAAAAATCGATTAAAAACGTTGCATTTGGGGCAGTATTCGATTTGATCTCTTTAGTGTCTCCTTAACAGAAGTCTTAATAATTTAAGGAAACCACGCCTTGAAAAGGGTTCTCCATAAGTCATCTCGTACGATTACAGTTGGATACAGCAGGCCATTTTACTTAACTTGTACGTTGCTTAACTACGAGAGGACATGTGTGAATAGTTAGGACTCAAGATAAGGCCCGTTTTGTTCCACGATCACTGATAACATCGGTTGACGTTAAAGGGCCGTTCAATATGGTGGACTTGAACGCAATACTGTTCATTGTGTGTCTGAGCCTATGCATAACGTGTACGTATTACATCTTATTAATGCATAACATAAGAATGCTGTGTAACGTAAAAGAGTTCCAAAAGTTTTACTAAGTGGCATTGCTTACAAGGTCAGTGTCAAAATGCGACATACGATTCACTAAGTCGGGTGTAGACACACGTACTATAATGTCGATATATTGCAGAGATATGAAATTGAGAGTTGCTCTTAGCAAATATTGTAAAATTTGTGAAAATTCGGTTTGATTTTGGTTTAAACAAGGTCTTCTAAAACATTTTTCACACAAATAATAGATGAATTTGATGTTTATGTAATAGTAAAACAATTTGATCGTGGCTAGTGTTGTAGTTTTGGAAACGATTGCCACAATTTTACCAATATTTTATTTGTACGTATCTTATGAATTATGATGTATTGCATTCCTTGTTTCAGCATGCGAATCAACGTTTACGTTTGCCTCTTCATACTCTGACCACGTGGTGTTACAGAAGGGAACACGTGGTACAATTGTATGGGGCAAATCTTCGAAGCTTGGCGATACCGTTCATGTTTCATTAAATGGTCATGAGGTTGCTCATAGTAACGTTACTCATGATGCATACGGCGGGCTGATTTGGATGGTGAAGGTAGTTATGACGTCACATCATTATGGGCCATATAACCTGACCGCAAGGTCAAGTCTAGGGGCGATAACTCTCCATGACGTTATGTTTGGTGATGTGTGGCTGTGCTCTGGCCAAAGCAACATGGAATTTACTCTAAGTAAGGTAAATATGTAAAAGAAAATCGTAGGTGTCTTTAAGTTGATAAGATTGCAGTAAATTGATGTCAGTACATTGTTTTCTTTATTTTAATAAGATGACAAAGAAAAGAAAATGGCCGTTATGATCATTACGTCTCTACTTGAAAATATGGAATGTCTAATAATGCGCAAGTCATATTGTAAACCTACACAATTGTTTGCTTGAATAGAAGGCAGGTATTCAGTTATCTTCATCGAAAGGCTGTTTTTTGTACGTATATGGCAGAAATATTCAAGGCAAGAGAAGGGTGTAAGAAAGTGCTATCTGTTAGGAACGTGACGTTACGAAATCGGTAAAATTAAGAAGCAACGATACGGAACATATACAGTTTTTGGTAGTTTCTGTGATAATTCATGTCACTTGAGTAATAGAAAAATAAATTTTCATACCAGGGTGTAGGATAGGGATATTTCATCAACGGGATTTTCAAATAAGTACAAAACCCTCGGCAATATTCGGATTTCACTCAATTCCAAAAACCGTTTGTGGTATTTCCGTATCCTTAACTCCGGACCTAAGTCATACATATCATTTAACATCCGTGTCTGTTTCTGACTAACAGCTTATCAACGACACTTCTGAATACGCGGACGCCTCGAACTACCAAGATATACGAGTGTTCAAGGCAAACCATTACCATTCTTCATCAAGTCTGGGGGATTTTCATCCACATACCATCGCAAGCTGGGCAAAACCTTCAAGATGTAGGTATCTGACCACAATATAGAGTGATGTTGTCAATAATATCGGTAAGATGAATGAATATGACATTATTGCACTCGAAGGAGTAGCTGAACTGGTGATTTATTATTTTATCACGGTGTTAGATCCAAACAATGATTTTCGTTTTNGTATGTTATGACAAATTTAATAAAAATGAATTAGGAAAATAAATGGCTTGAATAAATAACATTAAGTTATGTGCCCTATATTTAACCTAATGTAGGTTCATGTGCAACAGGTCGAGCATCTCGACCACCCTCTCTTAAAGGTTCGGAGAAAGTGTCGTAAAAGGCGAGTAATGTGGGGGCGCTTGCAGAATCAGGAGCTTTTTTGTGTGTTTTGCATCGGGGACATTGGAGAAACCACAAATGATCTTCGGCCAACATTGCAACATTTGAGAACTTTATGTCTTATCCCTACTTTCTAAAAATAATTTTGTTTCCTAGCGCCTTGTTTGGCAAAGCCTTACTTTTTGCCTTTCTGTTGAGCTTTCGCCCAGTCCGGGACATACAAAAGTCCTTAACAATGATAGTTGTCATTCCCTACTTAACATTTGGCATGAAGGTTAACCCTTTGTCAGTGTAATGTGACCAGGTGGAATACTGCTATGGGTACCTGTGTCATAGTATCTTACTGGGGTAGCACTGTAACGTCATCAGCAGATCTGCGCTATCGCAAGGAGATGCATTCATCAACATACCCTGCCTCCAGCATACATAAACATAAGCACGCATACATTAAACACATTTAGTACGTCACATGATAATTCCTAGGATAGCTTTTGTATAACTATACCTGGAGACGGGCACTAAACCTTTTGTTGGACCGCTGAGACTGCGGGAAAAGTAGTGTAACGCTAAGAGTTGCGCCCCTTCTCCTATTGTTAATTGTTGATTATCAAATATGTTACTTTTTATTGTCAAATGACAGTCATGTGATGTACT